AGGAGAGCCATCAAGAGAAGGATTGTCCCTGCTCCTGTCCCTGTTAAGTGAGAACAGAGCAAAGGGGAGACTGCCACCCCAGATTTGGGAGAAATGACATTAACTTGATTGCAAGACTCTTTTCAAATGCATCAGTATGGTCTAATAAAAGCAGTTAAAATGCCTGGTCTTCTTTTGTGAATTAATTTCCTCTTTTACTATCCTACAATTTTAAGGGATCATTCAGTTGGTCAGGTAGCTGGTGCCGCAGGCAGGGTACTATGATAAATTTCTAGTCCTGGGGGAATTCTGCGCCACTGCGCACATGCAGAATTCCCCCCCCTCCCACAGGGAAAAAATTCTGTGGCACCAGAATTGGGCAAAAGGCAGAACTGCAGCACTTCTCAGGCAGAATGTATTATCTGCAGGGGGGAGGAAATTCTGCATGTGCGCAGTGGCGCAGAATTCCACCAGGAGTAAAAGTGTAGGGATTGGTTAAAAGCTACAATCCCTCAGAGGAGAATTTTAAGCCATCTTCATCTCACTTGTTCTTTTCTTTGTTTGCTGCAGCATATATTGTGCCCCCTTTCCTGCAACCATTTCCAGCCTACTGCACTGCTTCTATTCCTTCTCCCCTGCCTAGCTGTGCTGCCTCTTTGAAACATGGTGGAAAATACCTACCACCTGGCAAAATCTGTCCATTACATGGCTGCATCTCTGAACTGTCTGTGGGTCTTGAGTGTTGCACTAGTTTTACTGTTTCAGTGATGTTAGAACAGTGACCTGCCACTGATGTAGGGCTGAGTCTTACCTGACAGGAGTAACTTTTGTGGGGATAGGGGGTGGGGAGAATACATGTTTTGGGATGTGGGGAGGAAACATTTCTTTGGCAGGCTGATTTAAAAAAAAAAGTCTGTTTTAAAGATGCGGAGAGATTTTGAATACCCATTAATGGGCAGAATTCAGTCAGCGATTCCTTGTAAATTTTAGAACTGTACCACATGGCTCTCTTATCTGTGTGTGTCTTTTTTTCAATGTGCATTACAGGTTCCGCAGACTGAAGAGGCAATAAGTAAAGCTAGTAACAAGAAAATCATTTTAGAGGATTCCTTAGAACAGGTGAGCTCTAAAAGCTTTATACATCTTTGCTTACGGGGTTTACATAGTAAATATTTTCAGAATGGTGGCCTTCAGGCAGTGAGTCAGTGGGCTATATATTATTCTTGGCATTGCTGGTTAGAGAAACCTACTGATCATATTCTGTAACTTCTCTTAAATGCGCATTCTTTAACTGAACACCTGCCACAAAATATTTTCATCCAAATGTGTATGGTTTGGTGCAGTGAAAGCACATAAATATCTCTGGAGGAAAGCAAACTTCCCACTTAGTTATCTAGCAGAGGGTATGGAGTGCAAGCCCAGCTACCAAGTTCCCTGTAGGTGTTACAGATCTCAGCTCGGTATAGCAAATGTGGATTTTCTCCTATTCAAGAACATGTAAGAGTAAACGAATTCAGCAAGCAGAAATACCAGGCCTAGGCTATATAAGGTGACGAGTGTTGTAAGATGGTGAAACAATTTAAGTGATAGGTTTAAACCATGAATATAGAGAGAAATTTACAGTCAAAATATATTCTTAGTTGGCAATGAGTCTGCTGCTCCTTGATTTGTTTCAGCAGAGCTCCAGACCTGAGAAGGAAATACAGGTTATTCCTAAAAAAGCAGCCAGTGAATTAACTTGAGTTGTAGGCGCTGTGTGCGCTAAGGTAGACACTGTATTGTTAGTAACACAAATAGTCATTTGTAGTCAGCACCAGCAGTTCACCACCTCAGCTCTCCAGCCTTCGTTGCTTAATTCATGCAAATGAATTGAGCACTGTACAAGGTCTTGAATCTGAAATATTATACCTCTACCCTGAGCCGCTGCACATTTAGGACATGTAATTCAGTACTGTAATCATTCCACAATCCATCCAACAAAAAACGGGAATCTGCTAAATGCTGAGACACTGGCTTGGTCCCTATGTTGGGTCCATGGAGAAGGTGGCAGCAGGACAAAAGATCCTGTTAGCCACTGAAGTGTTCCAGCAAACATTACTGCTTGGGCTAGGTAGCGGAGATCCGCACACTGATACTTAATGTACATTGGTGTCCAGTTAGTCTCTAAAGAAGCAAAGATTGCTGAAATTAATCCAGGAGAGTGAGTGAGTAATACTGTATGTTCATAATGAACTTTATCCCTCTAGAGCAGGGGTCTCAAACTCAATTTACCTTAGGGCCAGGGCCGGTCCTCAACTCCTCCCAGCGGGCCAATAATGTCACTGAAGATGGTGTTCAGAAAAGAAAATGTTTATATTGTATTTTTTATTTCGAATTTCTCAGAAATAATAAAACTGTCATACAACTTTATACAGTTCTTCGCCTGCCAGAGAGTTTTTAGTGTTTTGCCAGACACCTGGCAACGCTTCCGTTCTGTCACTTTGTTAATGTTTGGCCTCAGTGACTGAGCAGTTGAAACCTTCAGGATTGCAGCAAGGTGGGCATCAGATAGTTGCGTTCGGTATTTTGACTTGTTTATATTCATTGTGGAAAAAAGTGACGCTGCCTCCATGGCTGACTCTGCCCGGCAACTGGTGATGGTATCTCTATCCCTCTCCCCCAGCCAATAGGAGCTGCGGGGAGGAGGGCAGCGCCTGCCGCAGACATTGCCAGCAGTGTGGCTGCATGCCTCTCTCCTCCACGGGCCGCAGTCGGGCGGTTCTCGGGCTGCAGATGGCCCATGGGCCGGGACTTTGAGACCCCTGCTCTAGCGTAGGAAACCAGGAGAAAGTTTACTGAAGGTGTGCGATAGAATAGTTAGTGCACAGGGAAATGCATTGCATCACCCCTTGAGACAAAACCACTTATTTTATAAAATACATAGTTTATATTGTTCGTTAGTTTTTATTAGAAGTCCATTCACTTTCTGCCTTTTTCAGATGCCCATTGAAAAGGGTTATCTTCCTATTGCTGTATAAGTGCAGACTACTGTAGAATTATAGCAGTGTCACTGAAAATGATTTGTATGGTTCGAAGGTAATGTACAAAATTTGAGCATCTGTTTATTTTTTCCAGTGAAAATTTTCCATGGACTCTGCAACCACACTAGCACCTTTCTCTGTTTCTGAGGGAACATAAATTCATCTGGCTTCCTGATGTGGGAAAATTAACATGACATTAAATAGTTCTCCAGTATTTCCCTTATCTTAATATCTACATTGTGAGTTCAGGCTGAGCATTTATCTCTAGCACTTGAGTAAGGGTCCTGGACCTTTGTTTCAGCCCCATGTAGGTAGTCTATTGTTTAAAGTTCTATATAACTCTGAGGTTTTGCAAGGTATTTCCAGGTAGCTGTACATATGTGTGTGGTATTTTATGTTTTTTTAAACCAAATCTATTCTTGAAGTTGAATGTGTTGATAGCAGAGAAGAAAAGCAACATAAAACTGCTGAAAGACGAAGCCCAAAAGCTGGATGACCATCACCAGCAGAAGCTCAAGGTAGGAATTTACTTTTCTAAAGTGAAAATAAATGAGAAATCTTTGAATGAGTAGGACTAAATTCTGCACTGACTTACACCCTCTGTCACTCTGAATTTAGCCTGATGAATCATTATATGGCTTTGGACAGTCAGCTGGTCCTGTTTTAGGTGGCATCTCATGAGTAGAAACTGCTTATCCCTCTGCCTAACTTCCAGCAGAAGAGCTCCCTTTCCGCACACCCACCCTTTGGATGTTGTTTGTTGTTGTGTTGCCTCCCATTTCTTTCTGAACAGTTGTCAGGTATGGTACCCAGTTTCTGTTCAGATGGAAGTATTTAGACACCCAGTTTTTCTTGGAACAAATATCTTGTTGCAACCTTTTTCCGCAACCCTTTCTGGACCTGGATCTGCCTGGTTGATGGCTTCTCTACAGCAGAAACTGAGTTCACTTGCACCACACTGTGATGTGTTTAGGGCCCCCGACTGCCTTAATCCAGTCCTAATCTCACTTGTTCCTCACTAAGTGCGGGGGAGGGGGTAGAAAAAGCCTGGTGAGGTTCTCAAAAACCATTCCAGGCAGCATGCTGGTGTAGGCAGGTGCCAACGTGCATGGACAGGGCAAAACGTCTTTAAAAATAATAATAAAATGGTTCACAAAATATTTCAGATTTGGTGCTGCAAGGACGCTTCAGGGTGTGCAGCCTCTCATGATGCCTGGCTCATTACAGTTCATGCCTGACCCGATGCCCAACTCGTCTAGTGCAACATTTCCCAAACTGGGGTCTGCGGGCCTTTCTGATCAACTCCTCCCCCTCTCTATCTCCCAGGGCCCCATGCATGCCAGCGTTGTGCAGGAGGTGCTGGGAGGGAGGGGGAGGAGCGGGGACAGGGCAAACTCAGGGGAGGGGGCGGAAAGAGGCAGGGAAGAGGAGGGGCAGGGGTGGCGCTGTAGGGGTGTGGCCTGGGGCTGAGCGGGGAACTTGGGGGTCTGCAAAAAATACTAAATCAAAATGAGGGTCCTCGGGTTGCTAAAGTTTGAGAACTGCTGATCTAATGGATACAGGAGAGAAGTGTTTCTTCCTGTTTCTTTTTTCATAGTTCTTGCTAAGTCATTTTGAACCCCACTCAGATTGGGGGCTGAATGGCAGGCTGCCTATGAGAACAATGGCTCCTCTTAGAAAGAAAAGAGAGAAAAAGGAAACCTTTAAGGAGTTACTTGTTTTTATTAAAGGGATCTAAGTTTGGGACTATTTCTAGTCATGTATGGTCCTCTCCCATTCTGCATCATCTTGCCATATTGTTGTTGAACCTTTACCCAAGAACACTTGCTTTACCTTTTAAAACATGCTTGTGAGTTGCACTGCTACTTGTCACCCCTTTATCAATATAACCAAAAAGCAACTGTTTAATCTTTGGTGGGGGGAAGAGAAGGGGGTCAATAATTTTTACTAGTTGAAGTTTGTCCTGCTGAGGCCTTGATTTGATCCTCTCATAGGGGGAATTCTTTGGGTTTGCCTGTATTCCTCTGCTGGCAGGAGGTCCACTCTCCTAGCAAGTTTTAGGACTTTAATTATTGGTAGGTAAACTTAGTCTGAGGAACATGTTGCTGATCAGAATTTGTTTATCCTTCCTTAGGTGGCTGAAGAAGAAGAGGAAAAAAGTGCAGCTGAACTGCAAGCTCTAGAGATACATAAAAACCTAATTGAGGCTGGAGTCAACGAGGGCCTCAATGAAGCTATGAATGAGCTACACGAAATTCAGAAGAAGTAAGTGCACACAGCCAGATGTTTTTTTTAAAACAGATTGTTCCTGAGAAGTCTACTGCATTGCAATGTAGAGAGAAAACCATACTCTGGAGGGTTGATGGTGAATTTCTGTAGTTTGTATAAGATTTCCTTGACTGAATACGTAACTAGCCCTTAGTCTTGCACATATACTATGGTTCCCATATCACTAACTCTCTCTCCTCCCAGAACCTTGCAGTATGGAGTATTAATTAATGCCTGCATAGCAAGGGCTGGTTAAAATTTAAGACAAACGTAAGAAAAGTGCCTGCTACTTTCAGTGGAAAATGGACTTTGTCAAGAAACCAAAACCTTTTCACTTTTTGAAAATTAACCCTGGTTTTTTTTTTTTTTTTTTTTTTGACTGACTAAATTGATTTGAGGGGAAAAGCCCATTTCTAATCAGCCTTGCTACTGTGAGTCTGCCATAGTGAGTCCGAAATACCTGTATGTGTTTGGACACATTTCCATATACTGTGAAATTCAGAAGTTAACTTTCAATAGTGACTGGACTGTAGTTAAAGGTTTCAGTATCCTTTACAGTTCATGCATTCTCTAATATCCAGCCATGTGAATGTTAGTTATTACATATTCCAATTCTATGCCCCATCTATCAAGAGTCTTTGAGTTTTCAAGTTCTACAGAAAGGCCCCAAGACTTGACACACTTGTTGAACATATAAAAGTCCTAATATTATACCTTCTAGCTCTTTTATAGCCTTTCATCAGTAGATCTCAAAGTGCTTTACAAAGGAAGTCTGTATTACCACCATTTTACAGATGGGTAAACTGAGGCACCGGAAGGGAAAATGCTTGTCCAAAGTCACCCAGCAGGCCAGTGGCAAAGCCAGGAATAGAACTCACAAATCTGAGTCCCAGTCCCCTGCTTTATCTTGTGCCATGCTACATAAACCATGCACATTCAAAGTCTAGCCCTACACATATAGCTGCAGAATGTTAATATTTTTAACACTACAAAGCACGCATAATATTGTTGTGTAACTAAGATTTATCATCTTAGACTACATCTATATATAATACCTAAAAATACTCCTGTGTACATGGATGGTTCACTGCCTTTATAGAGTTTTTGATATGTTTGAACTGATTAAAAATGTATTGGGAGAGATTAGATGTAAGGTTATTGTAATGTCTGATAATGCTGAATTGGCTAGATGCTTGCTAGAGAATGTATAAACTGTATAGGTACTCAATTTTATCTATAGTCTTAGTTTCAGGATTAGATTTTATTTGAAATTGGATTTTTATTTTATTTAAATTATTTTTTATAAAAATAAACCTGTTTAAAATTAAATCTGGACAAAAACCAAGCAAACTGAGTTAATAGCTGTTTTCTATATAGAAGATGTTTTTCCTGAGTAACTTTTGAGGTCAAGCTTTTTAAATATGGCACAATAGGTCAGCCTGAGTAATTTAGGAGACAGTCTTATTTTCAAGAGACTTAGGTGAGACTAGGAATTTAAACTCACTTTTACTTAGGCATATTTGAAAATTTTCCCAAGCTCACCTGAAATAACCAGTTTAATCCACTGAGTAGTTAATCTCTGTTTAATAAATCATTTAGTTGTAAAGGTGGAACATGCTTTGATAAGAGATTATCTAGCCAAAACATTTAAGGTGGTATTTTATATGCTGTTTTGTGTTTGTTTAAATTCCAGTTACCATCCTACTACAGCTTGACACAAATCAGAGCAAAAAGTAAATTATCTAGTAAATAAGCAGTATCACTCACAATTTTCTAATGTACTAAAAATGTACAGTTAATCTGACAATATTAAGCTACATAATTGCTTAAATGTAGATAGTTCTAGTGTATCCTCTTAGGTAGCAAAAGGATGCACTAAATCTAGTGAAAAGGCTTTAGTTGTAAATTAACATTTTAATAGTTGCATCTTCCAATGAGAATGCACCTTCCTTTAGAAAGACACTGAAGTACAAATGGAAAAGTAGGTTTAAATCGAGGCTTTCCATTTGGTGATTTTTAAATTGCCTTGATTTAAATACTTTGATTTAAATTATCCAGCCTGTTGAGTTTTTCTAACATTTATTACATTGTCAACCTTAAAATGAAGAGGTTTCTCTTTGGCCTGGGCATGCAATTAAGGGAATGTATTTGTATTCCTCAGGCACCAGATTGCTGTGAGGACAACAAATGAAGAGAAAATGCAACTGCTTGATAAGTTGTACCGTGTCCTGGAGATGGTGGCTTTTCATGTAGGGTCTGTAGAGGTAAGTCACACCCATTACTGTTAACACGAAAGCAGGGTCAGGAAATATACATTGCCCAAAAGGCAATTTACAGTCAGTTTATTTCCACGCCACCCCTCTTTAATTCTCTCTCTCTCTCTCTCTCTCTCTCCATGTCCTGCCCAGTTCATGGCAGGTTATGAAGAAAGAGGTGGTCTGTTCTCCCCAAAAGTCAGTCAGTCTCTCTCTCGGGAGTGACTGGTTAGTGTCTCCAAGCTCCTTGGAAAGAACAAATCTCTCTCCTGTTTGTCTGGGCATGCTCAATCTTCTCCCTTCCTGTACAGAAAAGTCCACAATTTCTCCCAAAGTGACACAATAGCAAATTCCATGTGGATTAAAAATGTGCTGAAACTAACTGCCATGTGCAAGCAGAGCACCCAACCAGTGTGTGGTGTTGGGAATAGCCTCTTAATGGTCTCTTGTTCTAGGGTTCCTTTTATGGATATTTCATGACTGATTGCCTTAGTCATATATATATATATACACACACACACACACCTCATCTTCCCTACCTCCCCCTCAAATTATTGGCAGAGCCAGTAAAATGACCAGTTTACTGGTAAAATGACCCCTTGTAATGCTTCCAATGTCTATTAAGCTTTTGCCAAAGAGCTTGGAGGCTGCAAAAGTACAGCACCATGCCCTGCCAACCTCACCTAAAACAGCTGTCACCACACTGATTGAATGTAGGATGAAATAGCAGTAACAATTGCAATTGTTCTTCCTGGGCTGTATTTGAAAAAGGAGACACTGTAGGTCTCCAAATACTTTAATTGTTGGTGTTCAGTACTGCTGATGTGGGTGGATGTTCTAGTTTGTTCAGACCCTCTGTTATCAGAACTGCAAAAAGTAGAGATCATTTTGGAAAGATGACAATAGCCTCTCCTGTAGTTCAAAGGCTTATTAACCAATCCGCAAAGGGTGGGATGTGATTGATAGTTTGCATTACAATAGACAACACAAACTGTGGGAGGGGAAACAGGCACAGAGAGGGGCCAGGGATTCAGCCAAGGGCAGTGAAATGACAGAAGCAGAAATAGAACTCTGGGCTCCTGACTATCCCTAGAGCATCTGCCTCACAATTAATGTTGCCAGTACCTTTATTCAGGGAAAACAATTTTAACCAAGAGGGCTTAAGCCATAAAGAGTGTGCAGTTTGCTGTGTAAATCCATCTAGGTTAGTGAAAGTATTGGGCCATCAAAACCCCTTCTAAAATGGAATTACACTCGTAGTGACTGTGCAGGGGATGGCTACAGAAGGGAGATGAATGCTTAGGCCATTAGACACAAGCTAGGTGAGGTAATATTTATTGGACCAACTTCTGTTGCTGAAAGGGACAAGCTTACGAGCTTCACAGCACTTCTTCGGGTCTGGGGAAGGTAAATGGTTAGGACACTGTAATCCAAGTGCAAGATTCAGATTGCATGTTTCCAATCTGAAATATACACATTCAGTGGGAAGGAGAAATGTGGAAACAACTAATGCTAGACTAGGGGAGAGAAGAGGCATACTTAGATATTCAGAGTGACATCCTGCACCATTAACTTCAATGAAGCTGGGATTTTTCTGAAGGTTTGTACCAGGAAATAGCAAAAAAAAAAAAAAAAAAAAAAAATACATAGGTGTGGGAAAATGAAGAAGAGGCACTATGGCAGAGAGCTACCAGTCACTCTGCAGACATTTAAGAGGGTTCTAAAGCTTCCTAAAAATCAACAAATTATCCATGCTCCTTTGGTGTTCTGCTATGCTAACCTCCCTCAAGAACAGGATTGGCTTTTACACCATCAGCCTATGAGTTGAGACTATTTTAATAGGCAACACAGGTATGTCTTTCATTCACAAGAACTCCTAGGGATCAGATTTGTGCCCTAGGAATTCACAAAGTTTGGTGGCATGCCACTGTCAAACACAGCTGTTTTCAACCTAGTTACTTTACTATCGAGTCAGATCTTGGAGTTTATTTAGTTAATTTTTTTATTGAAGAAACCAGTTTTACTATTTAAGTTAGATAGATGGCCTTATTCCAATGCAGTGGATAATAATAAAAGATGCACATGGTGCTGACACAGAAGCTGCATGTCTTTTAGGTTAAAAACGAAAGTTGGAAATCTCACCAGTAACATTCTCTTCCTAGAAATACCTGGCTGAGCATAATGCAAAAGCTGATACAGTGTTTGAAGAATTTATGTCTGAAGACCTCTTGGACAACCTGAAACAAATCCTAGCCAAATATAAAAGTAAAGCTAATGCTCTATAACCCTTGCATGGAGGACTTCACCTATGCATTTTTTTTTTCCTGTAGCACAATTGTAATGTGGGCCAGTCCTGCATTCCTTCCACTAACTCCCAAGGCAGTCAATCTAATGTTAATTACGTATGTACAAGGACTACAGGATCTGGTCCACAATGTGCTGTTTGAGAGCTGTTACTCTTAAGTATATATTTATTAAATTCTTACAAATGTAAACTGTGTGTGTATTTCAAAATATCAGTCAAAGGTATTTCATAAAGATTTTTGATAGCAGTTGGTGTAGTGTGGTTTTTTTTTTTTTAAATAAGAACCTTGGGTTCTGCAGGCAGATGTATATGAAGCTATAGGATTTAAGACACACTTTTCAAAAGGGTCCATTAATTTTGGATGCTTGACTTGGCAAGAGCCCAGAGCATGCAGCACCCAAAACTGAGTGGATGCTTCTGAAAAATGTTTGCTAGCATGCTGAAACTATTCACCAAGAACTGACATTGAGCCATAGCATGTGCTCCAGGAAACTTTGCCCCTGAGAGATGTACCATTTGGGACACAAGGTGTTGGGACAGCACCTCTGCTGTTATGACACTAAGCACTTCTAACAGTGGTTATAGATGGAGTCATAGCCCTGACTCTCCCTTTGTTCTGCTTGATGGATTTAACTCCTAAGTACTTTGATCAATCTCTTTTGCTTACAGCACATAATAATTAGTTTACTGCATTAGGCTACTGTTCCAACAACTCCCAGATCCTGTTTTTAGGAGTGGCTACTATCAGGTAGCAGGATTAACATCTAATGACAATTAGGTTAGGTAAAGCATTTCCTTTTATGAACAGACATGAACTTGACCACACACCCTCTTAATCTACACTTAAGTCACATGTAGAGTACAGACATAGCATTGGTATTTAACAGCATTGCTTCAGTGAAGAGCATATGCCTGAACCCCCAGGCTGGAGAGCGCTCTGTGTGTGTGCGCGCATGCGCGCACACACACCTACCTCCTTGCTCTACAGTGCTATTTTTAGCAGTGTAACATCCTCCTACTTAAGCCTTCCCCTGCCCCAGTGAAAGGCTCCAGCTGCTCCCCCCTCTTGAAGCCTGTTGCCATGGCATACAGCTAGCCCCTGCAGTGACAAGTGAGAACACAGCCAGTACTCCACACCCCACCAGTGTAAACGGAGCTTAAGAATGGGCGATCTTCTGGGAAGGAAACCTTACCCATCAGTAACACTACAGCTATGCCATCTAGTGGGCATTGCTGGACAGATGCAACTTAGTGTGAGAAGTTTATTCCACATCTGTTATGTGCCCCTGAAGAATAGGAGGCTGCCACTGAGGGACAAGGTAGGGCCAGATATGCAGCATGTACCTCATTTGCCATGGAAGTTCACTCCTTTATGGTCAGTTGTCATCACATTAGAATTTTGGTTTGTTCCTTGAGAGGTCCACAATGAAGTCTGTGCTAAGCAAGAGAACACAGTGCAAAAAGGAGAGGTAACCTCCACCCCTTTGAAATCCTCAGGCCTTGCTCTCTAAGGCAATAGACGCTATGTAAGTACTAATTCTTCCAGCAGAGTGCTCCATTAACAAGTGCTGTCAAAGCAGTCGGCATCTTCTCACCATTCACAAAGTCACAGCTTTTCATCTGCTCTTTCTCCTAGGGACTGATGGGGTAGTGGAGAGCCCTCACAGCTTGTAGCCACTGGTGCTCAATTACATTAGAGTAATTTCCTTTTGGGGCATAGAGTGGAGGTACCACATAACTCCATGCAGCCTGTGTACCAGACTTTCTTTTCAGGCATCATCCTCTCATAACTTCTTAAAGGACAGGTCCTTTCCACCTCCAGGTAGGAAGCCCTACAGCAATACAGCAGGAAAGAGTGTTCTTGCTACTTCCTTGTCACCACTAAAGAAAGCATGAAAATTTAGAACTGAACACATACATCAACAAGTTCAAATTCCATAGGGTGACCCTATTCTCATATATTATCTGTATTAAAACAAATTGACTGACAGTCACAGCTAATCAGTGAATAAAGAATGTTGCTATAGCCAGAGCCACATGCACTCTGTTGGCGTTTCTCTTGCTATACCGCTATGTTCTAGCATCTAAGCCTTAATTGTGAAGCAGGCTTTAAATGAAAGCTATCTTCATAACAAGGAAGGGAAACAAGTGGAAGCTTGTTAAAACATAAGCTTTAAAAATCCTTTATTTTTTTGTCAATTTAGTAAATTAATACCAATAAATGCATCTAGAAAATCATAGATAACATTCTGCTGCATGAATCACTTAACTTCTTAATGAAAATTTAAGGAAACTTGTTACAAACCCTCAAAATAATTTCACTATTTTATCTTATCTACAAAGCAAAAAGCAAAGTCCAGAGCAATATGGTTGGTACCTGTTGTGCTGGATGAGTAGAATACAACAGGAGAGTTGTGGCTGTCAAGAATTCATCATGGGAAGGTTTCCTGTAACATGGGCTATAAAACACCTCAGCAGGTGGATGCCAGAATACTCTATGGAACTGTAGAAACAAAGATTTACATGTTCAGGTCCTTGCTTCCTTTAAATGCAGGTGCCTAATTCTGCTAAGCTGCCACCGTCCCTTGGAGTAACAGGTAACTTCAAAGTCAGCCAATTGTTTCTGATACATTTTAAAACATCAATAATTTAGTCCCACAACAATCAGGAAATGTATAGTTCCTGCAGCAACTTTAACTCTACCCACTGCACAATCACAGAGTGGAATCAGCAAAAAATGTTATGGTACATCACAGATTCTCTTCACTTAGCTTTGTGTGTAGAAGGAAGTACTTGTCTTTCTGGTGCAAAAATGCAGCTTCACAAGAGTTTGAAATTATAGCTCAGTGGTGCCCTAAACATTTTCTATCCAATGAAATTAGGTGTTAATTCTTCCATTTAGTTTACTGCTGCAATAATAACAGAGTTGCTACACTCTGCAGCTGAGGTTTAGAGTTCAGCAACCCTTAGTACAAGTTTAACAACTTCACAAGACATGTTCAAAATAACGTGATGTTTAATATTTTTACTAGGGCTCTCTGCTGAGATATTTTTTAAACAAGGAAAAAATGTTACATAGGATTTTCCCCAGTTACACACACCACTTAATTTAAATGTCACAGGTCAAATTCTGGCCTATTGACTTCAGTGTCCTAGGATTTCATTTTTGTTTCTCCATAAAGGAGCTACATTTGAACTTTTATCAGGTACAACGTGCTCAGCAATGGAAGCTTGGCTGTGGCTCGTCACTTAATTCAGGATCTCATTATAAAGGGACATTATCATGACAGTTACAAACTGGTGTACTCCTTTACACGTTATCTTACAAAATCCAGTGCTGATCTCCCCAAATTGACAATTGCTCACTGCTCAATATCAAATAAAAAAATTCCGAGCCCATATGATATGAGATAAGGGCGCAGCGACCCCGGAGAGGAGATATGATACTAAAAGCACAGGCTTTGGGTAGTCACTTATACCCATACCAAGTGGCTGTAGAAAATTACACCATGCTGATTTTTGGTAGCCTTTTGCACCGATGTAAGTGACTTCACAAATGCAGAGCAATGGATATTTGGGTTCTATCTCAAACTCTGCTACAACTTTTCTGTGTGTCCTTGGCCAAGTCACTTAGGAGCCTACATCGCTTTGTGGCTCTAGGCCTTAGCATAGTTCTACTCTGAAAACTGACACTGTAAAAACAGCATTTTGGGGTCCCATGTTTGACACGCTCAACATCAACCTTGCTCTATTTACACAAATAGATTTTTTAAATTGCCACAGTCTCACCCCAGAAACAGAGTCAAGCTGGGTTCTTTCCAACACATCCACCCCCCGTACAAGATTCTATATGCCAAATTCCATTCAGTTACATTTGTACCACGCAGCTCGGTTCAGTGAGGTGGTACAGATGTAACCAAGGCCAGAGCTGGGCCTGAAATCAGAAACTGGTTACCTGTTCTGCTAATGCTGGATCCAAAACAGAACCCAGCTCCCTCTCCCACAGTTGTACAGGCTCTGCAGGGCTAACCGGAATAAGAACATTGAAGTTAAAGTTACACACAGGCAGCAGAGCCGTTACGTAAGATGCCATTTTTATCTTGCCCTTTTTCAGAGTAGAACTGCATGTTAGCCTCTCTGCCCATTCCCCCATCTGCAGAGGGGATACTTTGTATACAGTCTTAGCGCAAAGTAGCCTTAATTCGTATTGGGCAGCATAACTGCACGTACTATCCTTGGTATGCCTAAGAAAGCCACAACCATTTCAAACCTGGTCCCAAGCTATTGCCCGTACATGGTCTGTTTAAAATGAGTGCGGTAGTCTCAGACAGGCATTCACATCACAAAACCCACCATCATATGTTGTGCCTCTGCTGCCAGTCTCATCTGAAAGACCAAACGAGGAATGGGCCTTGAAAGCTGAACTCTCCTCTCACCTCTTTAGGGGGTTCTCCCTCAGATAGGATGGGATCAGCATGAGGGTAACTTGCCCTGACACTGCCCATTGTACCTGTTCTGGGCATAAACAGGAGTTCGGTCTCCCAAACTGTCATACCTTTCAGTGAGTTTGGTGTTTTTCAGGTGCTTAAAATTAAGACATCAGTAGAAGTGAGCTTTACCTGACTGGGAAGAGTTGAGGAAAGCACCCCTGAGTGTGTTTCTCTGCGAAGTCTTGGATCTCCAGTACATTTTTAACCAACAGTCCCTTGGGAGCTTTGTCCATTTTGGTTAACACAAACTGCACAAATCCATAAAGAGAAGATTTAGGGAGCAGGGGAGAAAGAATGTTGCTTTACTGTAAACCTGGAAATGTTTGCCAAGATGTATCACCCTCCCACCGCTTTCGAACTGCTCCATGTCCTATCTAATGGGATACTAGGACATGAATGCTGAGCACCCAGCCTATTAAAATCAGGCCTCTTTAAGGGGTGTCAAACTGGGCACCAAAAATAAGGTCAATTTTGAAACTTCAGACCTTTAAAAAAAAAAAAAAAGATTTTCAGGCCTCCCTATACAGTATGAAAAAGAAAAAGGGGGAGGGGAAGGGGGACAATTTTTTTCCCTGTGCAGATCACCTTTAACTCACTGCTAGAGCTCTACTGCTGAGGCTCGTCTAGCTGAAGGTACAAAATGTTTAGAGAATGCCCTTGAGCCCGGCCAATTTACATTTTTATTTTGGTTCGTGTTTTAAAGAGAAAGTATAACTTACAACGTAAGGGATCCCAAACTCCTCCAACATTTCTATGGCAATGTGGTCTGCTTTCTGAAATCCTACCAAGCTGTCCACTAATAAGAAGGTCCTCTTCAAGCTAACAAAGATACAGATAGTAACACAAGTGAGGGGCAATGCAACAATGGTTGTTTCTACGTTAACTAGCATGAGAACTGAGACGCTTCCTCATAGGATTTGGAGATGGGAAAAGAGAATTAGTCTTATCTAGTTCATCCTGAGAGGAGTCAATACAGGATAGCACCTAAGGGGAATATTTTCCAGTGCTTTGATCCATCCAAGCTTCAAAACAGAACTCAAACAATGGTAATGCCACCACTTCACTCTGGAAGCTATACCGTGGTCTAATACATTCCACCCCATTGTTGGTAATGCCTTCTTGATATCTACACTTAACTCTTCCACCTTTTTATAATCTCCGCAAACATCCCACTGTTCTGATGCACTGTGAGATTGCAGGTAAAACACGACAGCATGCAATGGCTCTCTTACTTCTGACGCTCTTGTAAATAGGCCTCCACCATGTCAGCAAAGTCTTGCGGGGCTCGGTAGCCATAGCCTGGCATGTCCACCAACGTAAAGTATTTCCCCACTTTGAAGAAATTCATTTTCTTTGTGTGGCCCTGGAGAGAGAAAGGTTGGGCTTTATTAAATATTACTAAATGGCCATGGGATTATTTAAAAGGTACTTTATGCCCAACATTAGAAATCTGAGCTGAATATGGACAAGAACCAATAATCTGATGGGCCTAGAAGACTGGAAAGTGTTTTAGATTCATTAGAAACGCTGAATAGACTTTGTAATGTATCCTGGGTAACTGACAAGCTGACTGAATGAGGGAACCACTTCATGGTTTAGTAGAAACAGGATACCATTCCAACGACTGATACACAAGCTTAAGTTTGTCTAAGGCCTGGTCTACACTAGGACTTTAATTCAGATTTAGCAGCGTTAATCCGAATTAACCCTTCACCCGTCCACACTACAGAGCCAGTTAATTCGAATTAAAGGGCCCTTTAAATCGATTTCTGTACTCCACCTCGACGAACGGAGTAGAGCCTAAATCGATTTTGTTAATTCGAATTAGGGTTAGTGTGGACGCACACCACCGAATTACTGTGTTTAAGTTAATGGGGTAGTGTGGCCGCACACCACCGAATTAATGTGGTTAAAAACCGAATTAAGGTGCTTAGTGTGGCCGCGCACAATCGAATTTATACAACCTGTTTCCCAAATTCGAATTATCTAAATTCGGATTAATCCTGTAGTGTAGACATACCCTTAATGTGACTACACAAATCTAGGTAGTTGAGAGGAGGGAGATGCTGTATGAGCCCATGTAGGAGAGTCCAGTAGGCACATGATGTACTGGACTTACATTTTTGAAATTACAACCCTAGAGCAGTATCAGGGGGTAGCTGCGTTAGTTTGTATCCACAAAAACAACAAGGAGCCTGGTGGCACCTTAAAGACTAACAGATTTATTTGGGCATAAGCTTTCGTGAAGAGGTGTTTTATCCACGAATGCTTATGCCCAAATAAATCTGTTAGCCTTTAAGGTGCCACCAGAACACTAGTACTTACCATACTATTTAGCCATGGTATCAGAAAGGATTTTAGAAAACACTCTACAGTAGTGTTTCTCAGCCAGGGATATGCATACCCCTGGGGGTACGTAGAGGTTTTCCAGGGGTACATCAACTCATCTACATGTTTGCCTAGTTTTACAACTGGCTACATAAAAAGCACTAACAAAGTCAGTACGAACTCAAATTTCATACAGACAGTGACTTGTTTATCATAGAATATCAGGGTTGGAAGGGACCTCAGGAGGTCATCTAGTCCAACCCCCTGCTCAAAGCAGGACCAATACTGCTCTTTATAGTATACACTGAAATGTAAGTACAATATTTACATTCCAGTTGATGTCTTTTATAACTACACGGTAAAAATGAGAAAGAAAGCAATTTTTCAGTAATAAAAATACAAAAGTGTCACAGCCCATTATGTCTGATTTTGTAAGGAAATAGTTTAAGTGAGGTGAAACTTGCAGGTACGCAAGACAAATCAGACATGCTGAAAGCAGGACACAGGATACCTGGGGAGCTGCTCCAGAGCCACCACTGAAGCCTCTGCTGAAGTAGCATCAGTAACACACTCAAAAAGCCTGTGTTGTGAGTGTTTAAGTCAATAGATCTACTGTCACGGCATCACTGGCCATGCCCTCAAGTCTCCCTCTGTGGGTCCATAGGGTGTGGCAACCCCTTGCACAGCCTCCCTGTGGCCTCTGCTTCTCTCTGTGTGGAGCAGACTGCGACAGTTCCACTGCTTCAAAGACCTTCCAGTCATTACTTGAACAGGAGGATTTAGCTCCGAGTGCCAAACTACTCTCAAAAAGTGACTACAAATTAGCTTGGTAGGGCTGTGTTTGTTTTGTCCCAGTGGCTGCACATCAAGTGTGCTCCAATTTATGAGTAATAAGATTCTTTTTTTCCTCCCAACTGCTAGCCCTGCAAACTTACCCTGGGCTCTGAGAGACAAGCTGGGTTCTTTTCACCTCATATTTCCAGTAATAGGACTTTTGCAAATGAACCTTAAAATTTCTGTTGAAGATGCACAAGCCAGAACAGAATCCAGCTTATGCTCCCAGAGCTTTGTGTTACCCCAGCGCTAAGGTTAGCCCTCTTTCTCTCATCTCCCCTGACTGGCAGGAGCTTCCAGTTGAGATGGAGGGAATCCCGTAACAACACTTACTGGAGTTTTTGACACTCGGACATCAACATCGGGAGCCAATGAAAACAAGGCCTTTATTAAGGAGGATTTCGCAACATTGCTTCTGCCCACAAAGCACACCTGGAGAGAGACAGGAGAAAGGAAATACCATTGTTAGTTTTCTCTCCTTCATCCAACCCCACCTGTGCAACAGGAGTGGGTCACTCCTGCAAACCCTCAATTAGTTCTCGTGGCCTTACCACCTTAGACAAGGAAGGATGGTCCAGTGACTACGACACTCACGTAAGTCTTGGGAGCCGAGTTCTAGACCATACCATAGACTTCCCGTGTAAAGCTGAGCAAGTCATGTAGCCTCTCAGTTCCCCATCTGTAAAATGGGTATAACAGCACTTCCCTATCTCACAGGGGTGTCATCATAGAGTGTGAGGTGCTCAGATACCATGGTGCTGGGGGCCATATATGTAACTAAGACTGACTCGCTTTCAAGGGAATGTCTTTGTGCTAGTTGATACCCTCCTATATGAAAAGTCTCAGGAAGGGCCAAGTTAGGTTGAAAACTTAGTACCCCTGACAACATGAAATGTCCATGTAACTGTCCTATCTGTAGGGATAAATATTTTGTTCCCTTTGTAAGGGGCTTAGTCCTTCAACTCTGTAGAAGCCCCAGGATCTGTAAAATCTTGGGACATCTGCACAAAGCCCAGGCATTAGTCTATTCCTTGGACCCCAGGCTCTTCAGAAGCTGTGCTTCCATCAGTTCCCCTGCACAGTGTGGACAAAAATGCACCACTTGCTCCGAGGCAATTGACAGTGCAGAGCAGGTTTCCCTACATAAAGTTCATGCTGACACAGCCCCCATGGTTCACAGAGGGCTGAGGCTGCACAGAGACGCTCCATGTGGTCAAACCCCAACTGCCAAAACTACAGCACCCAAATGCATGAATTCAGGGCAGGGGAGATAGGGACACCGCTGTATAGCAGGGGTTGGCAACCTATGG